ATTTGATAAAATGGGAATCTCTCTGATCCAGCCTAAAGGTTTGGTCTGTGACGAGAACATTATCATCCTTGCTCTGACTTGTGCTTTTGATCTATTTAATACATTCCGGGGATGGCGTGATGTCATACAGATAATCCAACTCTGAAGCTTACGTGTTGACTAACCATCTAAGAGCTTTTTAACCCTGATCATCCCCATGATCCTTCATTTATATTGATATACATTTATGGGCAGGTACTCATTAGGAGGTGTACGATATATTTCGTGAATGAACACACTCCCTCCAAATCCTGCCGAAAGCAGATCTGGCCGGCATAGTTTCAAGGGTCTTCCCACGTCCGTTTGGAAGAACCTCGGGTGCCTAGGTTACATTCCATCAATCACTGCGGTAGTTTTAGAATCTGGGACCTTCTTCGGGATTTATCACACCCGATGGATATTCTCCCTCAACAAACTCCCGATAGCAATGTATGTGTGTGCTTTGGTGACTTTGCGGCTCGCTGCGAACAAACCGCATGCGCCTACGACATCTTCATATCGATTAGTAGTAGACCATTTTCATCGAAATGATAGGATTAATACCTTCTTTCCAATGATCGACACTGATTTCAAACGGAACATGCCAACGGTTGCCAGCCAGCTTCCTGCGGCGAATTTGATCGATATGCAGCAGCAAAGTTTAACACCAAGACGTATAATATCATAAATTTCTCTTTGACACTATTCTCTACTGATACAACGCTTCACGCGGGAGGATGCACGGAGGACCCAATGCAGCCAGCTGGAGCCTGGAGCGCAATACCATCGGGCGATGACGGGCCGCGGCCCACTGAATTAAGTGCTTTGCCAACGACCTGGTGGCTACTCCGAGACAGGTCGTTCGATGGCATGATTAATTTACTTGCTACAGCTGCGATACTCGACGTGGGTAAGATCTGGGCATGGCGCAGGAATCAAATGGTTTCATTGACTGCAAACTCAATTGTGCAGCACATCACGGAGCGCATAGACGCGAAGTCAATCGGCTAAAGCAACTTCTCAGGATTCTATGGCCTAGATACCGGTAGCGTGGTGGCTACACGTACACTGTACTAGTAGGCTGCCTCAACGATTGCACGCCGCAAGTGGCTGCTTGTGCGGCCACGTAATGACCGTTTTCGTTCCGATGAGCCTGCGACAACCACGGCGTCAAGGGCGGCCATGTTGTCGGAGCAAGAGGGGGACGACCGGAGTGGGCTCAACCCAACACTGCTGCTGATGTCTCCTTCGCTGCCAAAAATGCCAGCGTGTCGGCCGCGATCGCTGGCTCTACGCGGAACACAAGGGTTCTTGAAAAGATGCTGGTACGCTGCAGACCTGCTTGCGGACACACCATTGCTGCTGCCTGGAAGCAGCAGGTCCCCTCGTTGAAGCCGTCGTCGCATCACCCAGATAAGATGCCCGCCTTGTCTCGTGCTTGTTTTCATAACAAGAGACGTTCGTTTGTGTCAAATGCGTTGCCGTCCGGTGCAGATGCTGCGATACGGCGCGCGCAGCTGGCGGCCCGTGCCGGTCTCTCAAGTGGGGGGCCCGTCGTCGTACCTACGGTCATGTGTAAAATGGGCACTGGCAGTGCAGGCAAAGTAATGTGTGGCACGTCTACCAGCGTCTAAATTGGCGCCAAAGCAACATGGCGCCCACAAACGGCCATGATTGCCGGCTTTTCTAGCGTCTAAAACCGCCGCCACCTTCATACCGTGACGCCCAAGCTTCGAATTTCAGCGCCTTCGGTTGGCTCTTCCGCGCGCGGTCGATCTCAATGCGCGCATGTGATTCGTCCGCAGGATTTAAAACCGAAGTTCGAAGCCAAACGGCGCCAAAAAGGATCGATATCGATGCTTGCCGCTTGGGCGTTAGGGTGCCACCCTTGTGATCTGATCATGCGGCGCTGTACTACGGTTATCCGCTGCGGGTTTCATTTTTCATTTTCCTATTTCCTGGATCGTGGCGCCCAGAATGCTCCCGACTCTGTTGCACGACCTCTTCCTAACCAAGCAGCGTGGCGTCGTCTCGTGCCCCGAGACGCACGAGCCCGTCTTGGGGCCACTCCGCCCCCGCGCGCGCTCGACCGACGGCCTCCGCATGGCCACGTGGGACCAGAAGCGCCAGACCTGCTTCAACTGCAAACACGTCTTTCTCAAGAGCCTCAGCACGACGCCCGACTACTGTTCCGTCGATTGCAAGTCCAACGCGCTGTACCTCCTCGCCGTGAGCCAGACGATCCGCGCAGTCAAGGAGGCTGCCGCCGAGTCCACCAAGGCGACACACAGCGAGACCAAAGTCGTTCGGTTCGGCGATGCGCCCACGATCGTCGCCTCAGACGCCGAGCCGGTCGTTGCTGCTGCTGTCGCCACAGATGCGGAGCTCATGAGCATCAACGACTTGGCGCTGGCAATGGGCTCGAGGCGACCGAGTACGCGCCGCAGACAT